GGCACCTATTTTCAAGGCATTTCAAAAGAGGTGGGGTAGTAAAAAGAGGTGGGGTAGTAAAACCGGGGTCGCTACTTTAGCACTTGATTCTTAGTCACTGTTGATTCTAAAGTTTGCCAGGGCGCCCTGTGGTGTAGTGGTCAGAGTGGCTCTCCTGGAGGCAGGGGAAAGGTCCAGTCTCAGCCATGTGACAATAACCAGCTGTGTGACCTCAGCCATTCCCTGGTGGGGCTCAAGCTTCCCAAATGTGCCAATGGGGGTGGTGGATGAAACAGTCTTTAATTTTAAACCTGAAGACATGATCCTGTCAATGCCTTGTTAATTATTCAGCACAATATTTCAACAGGAATAAGACACCATTTTCCCAAGCCTCCTCTATTCATCCAGCAAGAGTTTTGCAGGAAGAAACATGAAAATCTGCTGAGTGTCCAAGGTTCTTTATAAACAACTGACATATTATATTTCATCTACTTAACTTCCCACCACATAAAAAGAACAAAGTGATATTTTTGTGACTCATTAAAAAACCTAGAGGAAACAATATTTCTCTGGCACTACTAAAAAACTATTAACTTCTCTGACTCTCCCTTTTCTGAATAATAGTTCTAATTTCTCAGGCTATATTTGGCAGCTGATAACTGTTGAATACTTATGATATCCATCTGCTTTGGGCCTCATTTCCTCAAACAGTTCATAATATTCACTAGAGATGCCAGATTATTTCTAAGGAAGTGTCTTTGCTGCATGGTTTTGCTTGGTTTTTACTGCATCTATTTCTTCAGAAACACTTTTTAAGCTAAAACAATTGAGATAATTATTGATGTATTTTTTTCTTGCAAGGACTTTATGCAATCTATACAAATCCACAACAAGAAGAGTGATAGTCTGTCTTGCTGGGTTTCCCTCACCCTCCTCTTGGGAGCAGGCTCAGCTTGGTGACTTACTCTGACCAGAGAAAAGAGAGCAGAGGGGCCAGAAGTCCTCAGAGCATCCATGTATGAACCTTAGGACATTAAAACTCTCTTCTTTATGGCTATGCTCATAACTTTTTTGGAAGTTGATGATTTACACCATGACAAAAATAAATTAAAATCTATCCATCTTAGTTTAATCCTAGTAGGGTATTATCCTCAGATGTTCTACATAAATTAACCTAGTTTTCAAGAAAACATCAGTCCTGTTTTACAAGAGGGCCATAAATCTACACAAATTGACTGACTTTTATGTCGTAACTCTAGTTACATGACATATAATAAGTTGAGCTGCCCAGAGAAAAAGATACTTCTGACATTAAGTGCCACTCTAAAATCAAGGTAACTAAATTATTAAACAGTATTCCTCTTATAGATATGCAAATACTCAGGTTTATTCTGTACTATTTTATTTTATTTGATGGCTTCTATGGTTGTAAATGGCAATAAAGTTTCTCTTTCATTGTATTGCCCATTCCACTGACTTCTGAAATATAAAATTTCTGATTTTCCCTTTTTAGTAGTGCATCTAAAACAGAATTACCACTGAAAAAGTGATGCTTTATGGTCACAACTTCTCACTGAAGGGTAACATTTTTTGCAATTTTCTGTTTTATTTCCCTAGACTGGAATTTCTAAGTTAGTGATTAACATTTGAATTGCTGTGACTACAGTGTATGGTCCTTAACCCAGGGATGGATTAAAATAATCTTCAAGAGACTAGAAGCAAAATACATGTACAAAATTTCCTGTAAAAGTAAGCTGTGAAATTAGTCTTCATCTCTAGATTTTTTTAATATGTAATAACAAGTGTTGAAGAGAGATGTAAGAACCCAGAAATCAGATGAAGAGCTACAAAATCAGATAAAGAGCTAGAGTATCTTGGTCTTGGAATAATTGCCACATTAAAGTGTAGAAAACTGACTCACACTAAAGCTTCCACAGTAACACCTTGTCCCCCTCTCCCCTGCCACTGCAGAATCCTCCCATTGTCTTGAATATAGCTAATACTCCAGTAATTTTTCAAAGCCTTTCAGCAGAAAGAATACACCCATCACAAAAAATTGTATCTTTATAAGAAGTGGGAGAACACTATGGGGCCTCCCTGCTGGCACAAGGGGTTGAGTTCGATTGTTGCCAGGTCAGGGAACTACCCATATGGCGCTGCAGACCTCTCCTGTCTTGCCTGCTGCTCCCCTCAGTAGTGTATTTCAGTCAGTCTGCCTGTTCTGCTCCCTACTCTGTCTCTGGTGAATCGTCCCACCTCTGGCCTGTACCCCAGTTCTTGTATGCATAAATAAATCTTAAAAAAAAAAGTGGGAGAACACTAATTAAGATCACTGATGTATTCCTATGTATAGAAAGGTTATGTAACAGGGTGGTGCCCAGGAAAAGTGAGGTTCCAGGTTCCATGCCCCTTGCAAGGGAGAGTGGAGCTGAGAAGGGAGAAGCAGCTGGTGAGGAGACCAAGGAAGGAAGAAAGCAGGATGGAGAGGAAGGAGACCTGGCAGAGGAACCTGGAACAGAGAGACATGTAAATAAACTGTGCTTGCCTTTTGGTTCTAGACAGCTTGAAACAAATGTGGGTGAGAAACCCATAGGGAGATTAACAATGGCAGCTTTTATCTTAATTTTGGTTTTGCTCTTTTCCTCCCAGACTTGTCTGGCTGCTTCTGACCCTTTCCTATGGTTCCCCGCTGAAAGGTGCTTTTAGACTTGTGGCAGGCTTTCGGGCCTTATTTGGGCCAATCCCATTTGGGTGGACTTTTACCCATGAGGGGATGGGTAACTTTGCTTTTTTTTTTTTAATTTTTTTTTAGTATTTTATTTTATATAATTCTTACATCATTTTTCATTTTTGCACAATTATGCAATTTCATTTTGGTTGTATTCCCCATACAATTGAACCCCCCCTTATTTTGACCCTAATACTTTCTCTCCCCATCCCTCTCCCCCAGTGTGTCTCTGGTTTATAGTTGCTTGTTGATTTTGATTTTTACTTTGTATTAATTATTCTTTTTCCTGGTCCCTTATTTAGGTTTTCTAAATTCCTGCTATGAGTGAGACCATCTTGTATTTTTCTTTTTCTTTCTGACTTATTTCACTAAGCATGATCCCTTCTAGCTCCATCCATGTTGCTGCAAACTGCATGTGTTTATCTTTTTTGATTGCTGAATAATATACAAGAACTGGGGTACAGGCCAGAGGTGTGGGAGTGAGAGCATTCACCAGAGACAGCGGGAAACAGAACAGGCAGATTGACGAAATACACTGCTAAGGGGAGCAGCGGGAGTGACAGGAGAGGTCTGCCGGGCCACGTGGGACACTCATCGGCTGGCCGGGATGGAACCTGTACTGCAGAGGCTGCGGACAGCTTCACAGAGTGGTGCTCAACACCGGGGAGGTCCGGGATGGGTAACTTTGGATGCTTGATTTAGAAACTATATTCTTTGTCCTTTTCTGTATTGTTCACTAATTGCATGAAAGTTCCTTTCCATTAAAGGTTTTATCTGTTTTGTCTTGATGTGGTGGATGGCAGAACCTATTTAGAGCAGGGTTTCTGGGGTGCCCCTCTTCCTACCCTGTAACAGTTGCACAACTGATTTAGTAACTGGGTTGCGTCATTCTTTTCCCCTGACAAATTAGAAACAAAAGGAGTTAAGGAATACTCAGTTGTAAGAAAGGCAGCAAAAACACAACTTGAGAAAAATACATGTTTCTGGGGTAATTTATGGTAACCTTAAAATTCAAATTAATCACTATATTCTAAGGAAGTATAAGAAACTTTAAGTATTTAATATTTTTCATTAAAATGGCTAAAAAAAGCAACACAAATGTCAGTTTTTTTTGAGTGAAGCATCAGTTATCTGGAATACTTGTAAGATATATCCTCTTTTCAGGGAATGCCAGAAAATTAGGAATTCTACAGTAAGAGATCCCTAATCTTCACTGATAGAAGGGACAACATGGACTTAGGTAGAAGAAATACAAATTTGACTTTCTCACCAATTGTATGCATCACACAACATTTTGCAATCTAAAATGTACATATCCTTTAACATTGTTAAAGGCTGCATGGCTACTGGTTTAATTTGATGCACTGATTATCTGAAAATTATCTGAAACTTAAGAATCTGGGCATTGAAGATAAATATCCTACAACTTACTTTCTGGGGACAATGCACCCAAAATCTTATTAGAGTAGACACTAAGAACCTATGATCTAAACTTTTTAAAGTGTATGAGGTTTTAAGTAGGGCAATGGGGGACAAGATTCATGTTTGATAATAGAGCACAGTACTCTTCTCTGCTCACTGTACCACAGGTTATTATTTTACCTTTAACTGTGCGAAGTGTTGGTAAAGGTAAAATGCTCCATATTGAATGGTAATGAATATATAATAAAACATGCAGTCATAAAAATATCTGAAAAATGGGCCTCCCTGGTGGCACAGCGGTTGATCACTGGATTGCGAAGCTGCCCACAGTCTCTGCAACGCTGGTTTGATCCCCGGCCGCCAGGCGAGGGTCCCACATGGCACGCAGACATCTCCTGCTGCCCGCTGCTCCCCTCAGCAGTGCACTTCGTCAGTCTGCCTGTTCTGCTCTCCGCTCTGGCTCTGGTGAATTCTCTCACCCTCCCATGCTTCTAACTGTACCCCAGTGCTTATATAAATAAATAAATAAATAAATAAATCTTTAAAAAAAAATCTGAAAATTTAAGAACAAGTAAAACCTTCACTTTAGGATCAATAGTCTTTTTTACGTCAACAAAATCTCCTGTTTTCATAAAAGGTTAGGTAAAAATTCTACCGCCCAAGATAATCAATAGTTTAATGATAGTTGAAAATCATAGGGTTCATTGTAATCTTTGTTACTATGGCTTTATTTTAGAAGTAAACTGCTCAAGTCTAAGATAATAACTAATGTCACACTTGCTTTATATCACATCATTAAAATGGTTAATGCACTTCAAGAACTGAAGTGTGTAATACATTTTCATTTCAAAAACACCCACAAACTAAAATAGATATTTAAAATCTTTATTGTTTCATCATCAAAAGTTTTCTTTCCATAGAAGAAGGGCAATGCAGTATCAGTGCATATTCTATGGAAAGCTCATACCTCAAGTAACTAGCCTAGAAATCCAAGACAGCACTATGTCAAGCTAGTGTGCAAGGTTAAAGACACAATGCTGCCAATGCAATTAGTATACAGAAAGAATATGCAGCTATTCGAAAAAGAGTCTATGGCCAAGTGAATAAAACAGTAGCAGTGCACTGCACTGACAATCTAGAACAGAAAGCAGCAAAGGACCAAAGCATGTACTTTCTGCAAGGAAAAAATGGAGTAGATCATAGGCACAGAGTCCCCAACTGTATCACCAGCTGTCTAATTCATTTGTCCCTGTACCCTCTTCTTTGAGTCTGTAACATTATAACACTATAAGCCACTGTCAGACTAATGTGTAATATGGTATAGCCACATGCAGATATTTCATTCTGCTTCCCATCTCACAGAGAAAAGTAACAAGTTCGACGAGCAATAAAACCTGTGGCTTTTGGGTATCTTTAGTAAAAAGCTGAACAAACTCAAAATTTGTTCCCATTTTCTTGAGAAATAAACTTTATAAAACAATAAGAGATAGCTGTCATGATTATTCAGTTTTGTCTGAAGGCAGAACAATTTTTATGTAAGTATACTGAACAAACATACAAATATCCTTAACAAAATACTCTCAGACCAACTTGAACATTTTTATAACTAGCTCCTGAAAAAGTACTGATAATTTTAAAAAGCAAATGTACACTACAATTTGATAATGCCTGGTTACTGGGAATTTTTTGGTCACGTTTGTGTCTGAAGCTGCTATGCAGCTGGATTTGGCTACTTTGCATTCATTCACACAATAAATGCCATTTAAAAGGAAACAGCAAATCTATCATGATGAAATCAACAGTGGAGAATTATACAGGAAATTTGTCTTAAATATTTAAAATTACATATGATATAACCTTAGAGAATAAGAACTACAATTACCCCATGGTCTAAATCTTAATTGTTAATGCATGAATTATCTGCAAGACTAACAAGTCACTTGTTAATCATATCAAGGCTTTGCGGGGTAGGGGCACTCTGAACGTATGGCATAGCAATTAATCTCCAGGTAAGTTAAACATTTCTAATTTAAAGTGTATTAAACTATATTTACGAAGTTATTTTACTTAATATATATAACATATAAAATAAGTTAAAAGAAGGAAGCAGGGAAAGGATTTTCTGGCATATGTGATGCAAACATACAACTTTCCCTTATCAGTAGTAGCTCCATGTATGCCCATTTTATCCATGGTAAAACATGAAAGACTGATAGAAGATCAAGTTTCACTTATAAATAGAAACAGGATTCAAAAAATGGAATTTTAATATTGTTTCTTCCCACAATGCAACTCACTCTACTTTAACTGTAATAAACATAAATAAAAACTGTATCTCAAAATCGGTTTTTATACCCTTAGGTTTAATAATAAATTCTAACAATTGAGAAGAAAAGCACTTCTTTATAGCAATCACATAAAATTATTTTCAATACACAAAACACCTGCTTACTGGCAAAGCCAGCAACCCTTTATGGAGGGCACGGGCATTAATACTTGGCCCTTCTGAGGTATAAATGCAGCTATATTTGCTCTGAGTATATAATCTATAAGGTCTGCATGTTTGCATAAAATTGGGAGTGATGTCATCCTGACTGATTGAAAACTTATTTTTACAACTTTTTGAAATAATGGAGGTTAAATTATTTTAAGAGAAAAGATGTAATTTAGCCCAGTTAAATACAGCCAGCAGAATTCTGAATTCTTAACCAATGCAAATGGTTATTACATTTAAAAAATGTTTAACATTGCATATTGATTAAAAAAAAATACTGAATAGGGGAAACACATAAATATTTAAGTTCAGCAGGACACCACAAACAGCATACTATAGTTAAGTGTGAAATCAATCAAGCTTTTCCAAAAGAGAAAATCCTTTTAATCCTTCAGCAAGTCTCTGTGAAAATAGTATGCTTACAATAAAAGTGAGAAGGGAGCACCTAGAATACCCCCAAGAGGCTTGCTACACCATTCAGCATTACTGCCCCATCTCCTGTGTGCATGATGACCAACAAATGACAAGAAGTCCACTTGACAATGGTTCAGAAATTCTTTTCACCACTGCTGCCAGCTGAAGTCATCATTACTTCCAAAGACCAAGAAAAAGCCTAGTATAGTTGCAAAGATGACTGTGTTTCCTGTGAGAACAAGTGCACAAGCTCCCCACTCAATCTATGGAAATAAGATATAAATACTCAAGTTAATAGGCATATGAAAACAAAAAGAAAATGAAAAGCAAAGCAAGCTCAAGTTGTATTATGTGCTGATTGGAAACTTATTTTTACAACCTTTTGAAATAATGGAAGTTAAATTATTTTAAGAGAAAAGATATATTTTAGCCCAGTAATACAGTTGTACGCCAATCATGATCTAAAACACATAAGATTTGTAATAACTTTCATATGACCAAACACTTAGTGGTACTTCTATACTGCTTTTATTTATCTTTGGTTTCTTTAAGATGACAAAGTCAAAGCAAGCTTGACCTCTGGGCTCTGAAGAGGCAGCCCAGAATTCTACAATTTTCTACTTATAAAGATATTTGCTTTAGGGCCTCCTTGGTGGCGCAACGGGTTGAGCACAGCACTGTGAAGCTGTCCATAGCCTATGCAGCATGGGTTCCATTTCGGGCCAGCCATGGAGATACCCACATGGTGCGGTAGACTTCTCCTGCCTCGCCCGCTGCTCCCCTCAGCAGTGTTTTCAATCTGTCTGCATGTTCTGCTCCCCACTCTATCTCTGGTGAATTCTCTCACCCTCCTGTCCCTCTGGCCTGTACCCCAGTTCTTGTATGAATAAAAAAATAAATCTTTAAAAAAAATAAAGATATTTGCTTTAATTCTTTCTTAGTGAATCCAAATTTTTACCTTGAGAGCAGATAACACTTAAAGCATTGAGATGAAAACACATGCATATATGTCTTCCTCAAAGAAGAGGGTAGTTAAGTACTCCTTCATGCCTTCTCTGCCTCTAGGAGATAGAGGAATGCATCTGACTGGTGAGTTTGGGAGGAAGGTGAGTACACATATTAAGTATGTATTACTACCCCCTTCTTTTTTTGTACATTCCATTTTGTGAAGAATACAAGATCTCCTGAGGTCTTTCAAATTCTAAGTTGTTTATGGCAGGTATGTGGTAATTTAGCACTTCATGAGTTGATATGCTCAATTCTGAGTGAAGTATTGGCAAGCCAACTTTGTTTGAGCTTTAAGCCATGCTCTTCAAGATCATTTTCATCAGTTAATAAAAACAACAAAGGCAAGGATTTTATTTTTGTCCTTCAGGCCTCCATGCCTCTTATCTCTTTTTTACATCACTTAACAAAAACATTTTCCTGAGAAAAACTTAGCACAGGTTAATATAAAATCATAAATAGAAGAATGTATTCACTTACCAGATGTGCTCTGGCAAATACAATAGGGAGTCCAAAAGCTGAGACAACAATGCCTGTTGTAAGAAATATGGCCAGTTCCTTACACGCATTACTCATAGCATCTGTATCGTCTACTAATCTTCTTGCTATGCAGTATGGAATAGGTGAAAGGATGTAAAAAAACAGAACAAAGAGGGGCCAGTATTGGCTAGAAAAAGAAAAATAAGTTAATGTAGTTTTTGCTATATGTTATTTTCCTACACATGAAATATGCCTTTTCTTAATAAGGATCAACGGAATATTGCAAGGTACGAAGCATGATACAATTTAAAAATAAGCAGTAACCTAAAGACTGAAAAGAGAAATATTCAGAGTCATGTTACTCAATTATGACACAATAATTAAATATTTCTTATATTAAAAGAAAATGCTTTATAAATTATAACAATTGGAATCAACAACCAAAATTCAATTTTTTTTTTCATTTTAGGTTATGAATAGAGGCATCTGGGAATATTACCAGAGTAATTTTTGAAATTAAGATTTAGTCCTTTGTCTACTAATGTATGACAGCCTTAACATCAATCTGAAATATCCCCAACTTTACTTAGGTCATTAGGAAATTCCAAAACACTGAAATCAAAATATAGAAAATGAATTAAAATTACGATTGAAGACTTTCAGCCAGAATACCAAATTTATTATCACAAAAAGATGGCTTTTAGCTTACATTCTAGCTAATTGTGTTACAGTAGAGGCATTTTCTTGTTTAATAATGTAACTATTTATGGAAGATACTACCATTGGAGGTAGAGGGGACAGCTCTGCACTATTTTTTGCAACTTCCTGAAAGTCCATAATCATTTCAAAAGAAAAGTTAAAATGAAAATAGATGGTCATAAAATAAAATACCCATCATAATAGAGTACTATGCTCCTGTATTCTGCCTATTCTCAGAAGTCTCATGAGGTATTCCAAGTTCTAAGTTTTTTAGGGTAGGTCTGTGGTTGTTTAGTGCTGGGTGAGCTGATGTGCCCGGGTCTGAGAGTGAATTATTGGCAAAGATTTATATTTTCCTGAATATTTTGAGAAAAAAAAAAATCACAATGCTTAAGAATAATTAAAAAAAAGAAATCAGAGCACAAAGAGTAAATTCAAAGTTGCCCATGCTTCCTCTGCTTTCTCTTTCCCACTCTCCTACAGGGTTTCCTGTGGGTCCTTCCACATTTTCATACAGATAAAGTATAAAAATATAAATAAATCTCTGTAGTTTTTCATTTAACAATATATCCTCAATAACTTTACATACAGCACTTGTAGCTCTTCATTGTTCTAAGATTGCCTAATATTTCCATTGATGGATATGGCATAATTTAACCATTTTTTAAACAGATCTTTAGGATGCTTCTAGCTTATTTTGTTATTATAAAAGACTCTAGGAGCCTCCCTGGTGGCACAAGGGGTTAAGACTCAGCCTGTGAAGCTATCTGCAGCCTCTGCAGCAGGAGTTCGATCCCTGGCAGGCCAGGGAGCTACCCACATGGCACAGCAGACCTCTCCGGACTCACCTGCTGCTCCCCCTCAGCAGTGTACTTTGGTCCATCTGCCTGTTCTGTTCCCCACTCTGTCTCTGGTGAATCCTCTCACCCCCCACATTTCTGGCCTGTACCCCAGCTTTGTACGCATAAATAAATAAATCTTTAAAAAAAGTAACAAAGAGGGCCTCCCCTGGTGGTACAGCAGTTGAGTGCTGGGCTGCGAAGCTGCCCGCAGCCTCTGCAGCACCGGTTCAATCCCAGGCCACTGGAGAGGGTCCCACATGGCGCGCAGACCTCTCCTGCCCTGCCCACTGTTCCCCTCAGCAGTGCGTTTCATCAGTCTGACTGCTCTATTCCCCGCCCTGGCTCTGGTGCATTCTCTCACCCTCCTGCGCTCTGACTGTGCCCAGTGCTTGTATAAATAAATAAATAAATCTTTAAAAAATAAAAATAAAAAAGACTATCATGAACATCTAAACTCCCTTCCCCTATGTCTTCACAAATCTTTGCAAGTAGATTTGTATGAGCTCTATGAAGTGAATGGGCTACTTCAAAGAATACACCCGTAAGTCACAAGCAAACTGTCTTCCAGAAGATCGCTATTACTTGTACTTCCACCCATTGTATACAACAGAGCCTAGTTGTCCATATTGTATATTTTTGTCAAAGGATGTAATTTTCTTTAGAATGAGGCTGAATATATATTCATGTGCTTATTAGCAATTTGCAATTCTTTTTTATTTGTTCATTTTTCTACTGGGTTGTCTATGTTTTTCTTACAAATGTGTCCTATCAATTTTCAAATGTTATTTCTATTCTAAGGAAAATAATGTTCTATGACTTTTTTTTTAAAAGACTTTTTTTAAGGCTTTTTTTTTAAGATTTATTTATTTATTTGTTTGTTTGTTTATTTGTTTATTTATACAAGTACTGGGTACAGTCAGAAGCCCGGGAGGATGAGAGAATTCACCAGAGCCAGAGCGGGGAGCAGAGCAGGCAGAAGGACCGAAGTACACTGCTGAGGGGAGCAGCGGGCGGCAGGAGAGGTGTGCGCGCCATGTGGGACCCAGGTGTGCATGCCATGTGGGACCCTCCTCCGGTGGCCGGGGAGCAGCTGGGGATGGGGATCGAATCTGCGCTGCAGAGGCTGGGGGCAGCTTCGCAACCCAGCGCTCAACTGCTGCGCCACCGGGGAGGCCCTCTATGACTTTTATTTCTTAGCCAGTCTCCTGACTGTTTATGGCATTTTTCTGAACAGTTTAATTTTCTTGCATTTAATTTTATTAATAGGTGCTCAAAATGGAGCAGTAGCATTGGTTTACTGGGTAGCTATGTGCCATTAGTGACCCGCCAGTAGTCAAGGAGCCACAGCCAAAAGTTTTTTCTATACCATAGCATCCTAAAATCTACAAATTTTAAGTGAAGATATTTTTAAAAGGTCTGTCTTTGGTAAATAAACATTTCTTAGGGATACTTCTATAATAGTAAAAATGCAGAAAAATTTAACCCTCTAATCCTTAAAAAAACAAAAATTTTACATACTTGTATTTTGGAAGGGCACATCCAAGCATCAGAAACATCAGCCCAATTGCTCCTCCAAAGGACAAACTAATCAAAGCTGCAAAGTAAATGAAAAGTCAAATAGAAATGTTAGTTAAACTAAATTAACATTATTTTTAAATCACTATAAGCAATCTGAACACTTACCTGTGATCTCTGAAGCCAAGAAGAAAACACAAACACACACAAATGTATTTAAAGTGAGTGAGGGCAGAGGAGTGAGGGCGGAGTGGGGGTTGGCCTCCTTGGTGGCACAACACAGCACTATGAAGCAATCTGCAGACTCTGCAGCACAAGTTCGATCCAGGGCAGGCCAAGCAGCAACCCACATGGCGCAGCAGACCTCTCCTCTCTCGCCCCCTGCTCCCCTCAGCAGTGTATTTCAGTTAGTCTGCCTGTTTTGTTCCCCACTCTGTCTCTAGTAAATCCTCCCACCCCCAGCCTGTACCCCAGTTTTTGTATGCATAAATAAATAAATCTTTAAAGTGAGTGAGACATCATAAAAGTGTAAGTTATCTAATATTAGAATAAATCTTTTGTGGCACCTTCAAGGCAAAATAAAGTGACAGTAGTTTCAAAGGCTGACCTATCATTTGTGCACCACCACATTCCCCAATTGCTGGTTCCATTTCTGATGAGTATCTCAGTTGCCAAGATCAATGGTCCTCCAGGCATCAGAATTATATTTACCCCACAGATCATTACAGTTTTGACAAACAGTGTGGAGAAATGCCACATTCTTGGCTTTACTGGCTTTTAGAAGCCTCATCCTGTGAGGAAAACTCTCTGGATCAACTCTCACTTCCTGCACATATACCCCCAGTGTACATAAAATTGATAAGAAAAAAGTACCCAAGGATATCTATAGTTAATAATTCTGATTAATTAATTTTGTTACAGACCTTTAAATAGTTTGCAAAATTACAGCTCCCCTAATTTCCTAATCCCTTAGAAATGTGAAAGGTAATGGATACAATCCTTCTGTAGTATTACTATTTTAAGACATTAACGCAAGCAATAGACGCAATCTGAAAGTGAAAGTTTCTAAAGTTACTCACTTATACACTGTACAAAGCATAATATTTTGTAAAGTGTTTTCACATGTATCAGTGAGTAGAAAAAGCTTTGAGTTGCATAGTTAATGACCTAAAACAAGCAAAGAAACAAATGATCAATTTATTTTGAGTTCAACAGAACCTATTTCTGCAACTACAGTAATTAAGAGAAGAGCTTATGTTTGTATTTTTTTAATGATACACTCTATTAACCTTTAATGAAATGATTAAGTTCCAGAGTGCAGATCTACAGGACAAAAGCTAATATATATAAATAAAATTGACAGTAAAGAGGTCAATTGCTTCCAAGTACTACATACGTTTTTTTGAATTAAAATGGTGACAGTCAGGCCTCCCTGGTGGCGCAAGGGGTTAAAATGCAACCTATGAAGCTATTCTCAGCCACTGCAGCAGGAGTTTGATTCCCCAGGGTGGCCAGGGAGCAACTCACATGGTGCAGCAGACCTCTCCTGACTCGCCCGCTGCTCTCCTCAACAGTATATTTCAGTCAATCTGCCTGTTCTGTTCCCCCCTCTATCTCTGGTGAATCCTCTCACCCCTCTTCCCACACCTCTGGACTGTACCCAGTTCTTGTATGCATAAATAAATAAATCTTAAAAAAAAAAAAATGGTGACAGTCAAGGACCTCCGCTGACATGGAAGCTTGGCAGATTTAGTTTCCGAATTAAGATCTGATATAGATCACGTAGATTTATGATGTAGATTCATATGCACATCATGTCAACCCTGAATACATTTACTGAGTCCTTAACGCCATACTTCAGTTACAGAAAAAAAAAAATTGCACTTTTACAGCAAAATTGCACTTGTTTACAGCAAACGAGGAAACTGAAGTTTAAAAGGAAATGCAATGTAACCTATAAGCACAGCACTGAGTTTATCATTTATTCTCTTCTGATCAAAACAGATTCTCACCATGTACCCTGCCTTCTGTCACATATCACATGAGGCTTATTCTCTGCATTCTAGTCACAATGAGCCCTCTTTCCTTTCCTGAAAGCAGCAGGCGCTCTCACCCACATGGCTTTTGCACATGTTGTCTTTTACCTCAGACATTTTCATTCATTCTCGTCATTCAAGAAATATTTACTGAGAGCTAAATAGATAATAGGTGCTGGGATATGTTAATATGTGAGACAAGTCCTTTCATACAAAGGAGCTTGCATTCTTGTCCCCCTCCTTTCTTCTTTCCTCTGAGTTGACTTTTCCTTCTGATGTCAGCTCAATCATTTCTTCTTCAGTGAAGTTTTTCCAAACCTCCCAACTAGCCCAATTCCCCTTCCTTTCTCCCTCCCTCCCTCCCTTCCTTCTTCCACTCAAGTATCTATTGAGTACCTTGTGTATATCATATATTGTCTTGATACGGACATAAAGCAATGAGGGAAAAAAAAAATCAAAGCTCTTGTTCACATGAAGCTTATATTCTAGAGTGAGAAGAAAATGATTTTAAAAGTATAAGCAAGTAAATGTCAAGTGCTATGAAAAAAATCAGATACAGTATGTAGAGTAAGAGGATGCTATTCTAGACACAATGGCCTGGGAAAATGACTTTTTTTTTTTAAGATTTATTTATTTATACATACAAGAGCTGGGGTACAGACCAGAGGTGCAGGGGCGGGGGTGTGTGTGAGAGGATCCACCAGAAACAGAGTGGGGAGCAGAATAGGCAGTTACACTGAAATACACTGCTGAGGCGAGTAGCGGGGTAGACAGGAGAGGACTGCTGTGCCATGTGGGCCATCTCCCTGGCAGGGGATAGATATCGTACTGCAGTGGCCTCGGACAGGGTCATAGTGCTACGTCTTAACCCCTTGTGGCACCAGGGAGGCCCCTGGGAAGATGTCTTTGATGAGGTGATACTGGAGCAGAGATTTATATAAACTGAAGGAGTGTGGCTATCTGGAGTAAGCATTCCAGGCAAGATATGCACATGAAGCTGTCTACACTGTATGGTGCCCTCAGGTTAGCTACCACAGCTATACTCTTCTCACATTGATCTGTATTGGTCTTTCCTTCCAAACTGTTCACTCCATAGAGGTGGGGAAAAACTGTTTACTCCATGGAGGCAGGGAAAATGTTGATGGCACACGCTAGCTCTTAACACTCAATAACAAGTATTTGTAGAATGACCAAAGGAAATCAAAAGAGAAAAGGAAGAAAAAGAGGTTGGAGCGGGGAGGGAAGGAAGAGGAGAAAGATAAAAGAGAAGATACAGAGTGGAGCGCCCAAGATAGCAGAGAAGAAACAGCACATAACTGAGAATCAGGAAGCACTGGGTCCTAGCTCCTACTAATTACTAACTAGCTGCTGAAATAGCTGATCTGAGTGTCAGTTTTTCTTCTGAGTTGAAGTAGATCTAAAATGCAAGTAAGTCTCTGAACACTAAAGATACTTGAATAAGACATGTCCATTTTTTGAAATGCAGTTGTTAAACATTTGAGTTCACCACACTACAAACACTATATGGTGATGCCATATTTCTTAAGAAGTTGTTTATCCAAAACAATAGCTTAGAATCCTGAAGGAAGCAACAGTCAAAACGAAAGAAACAAAAGCAAATGCCACAAGGTGCATATACTAAACCTAACATTCTTTATAATAAACCTGAAAGTCATTAATTCACTTTTTTTGTGACACAAATGTTGTACGGGAATTGCGGTGGAGTGAATTTTTTGATTTTTAAGGAATTATCTATGTTCATTTATAGATATATGTATTTCCATAGGCAATTCATAAACCCAGAACAAAATAAGGTAACCTTCCTTTACCAACAGTGATTACTATATCTTGTAGCCCAAAGTTCTATAAACTTGAACATCTTGTTTCCCAGGTTGAAACAAATGAGAAATAGGAGGGAGACCTGCACACAAGCAAGAACCTTTCTCTGACCGAAAATGAGACTGAAAAAAAAAAAAAACAAAACAAAACAACAAACGAACCTCAAAAGGCATACCAATTTGTGGTAATCTTGGCCAAGAGACAAGTAGTCTTAAGACTTCAATGGTCTCTGAGGATAACATTCTATGATAATTAGTTATATCTTTATCATCAAAAAATCAAAGTCTAAGTTCTTTCAGCAAACTCAAACAGCTGATGAAAGATGATTTCCTTTAAAAAAAAAAAAAAGTAACTAAAATGACATTAGATTCAGGCATCAAAAAATAATGTATCTTGACATCTCACCTGCCAGTAACATGGGATAAGATAAAGTCAATGGAGTTAAATACACTTCTCAAAAGTAGTCTCAAAACTTGTAAAGTTTTCCTAGTCTTATGAATGAGCAACTGTTGATTAATACACAAATTTCATCATTTGTGTATAAAATGTTGTCCTAGGTGACACATCATCAAGGCAATAATTTATACTGTAATTAAGTGATGCAACAATTGGAAAGCAAAACTTAGATGCTTCTGGTTTCTACTCCCAAAGTCTCTGGGGTAGGGATGGAAGAGGCCAATTATTTGAACTCTCTAGTGACAAGTGCTGGTTCTGGTTCTGTGATTACAAAGAACAGGGGGAGAAGGGATCAGCTCCCTAGCCTGGGAGTAAACTGAGAATTAATGGGAAAATCCAATATATGCCAAAGTAATATAGGTAAATGGTTCAGCATCAACACTCATATCAACATTCCTTCCTAATATAATGATGACAGGACAAAGGGAAAAAAAACCCTGATAAACAATCATAACAATCAGACAATCTTACTGAAACCGAAAGTGTTAAGTGCAATACCATCGAACACACTTTCACCCGATCAATACTTATGTAGCATTGGAGAAGGAAATTATAAAATACTTTTAGACTCCTGCATTCGATACTAAAGAAATGTGAAAACCAGCAGCATCCGAAAAACCACAGCATTGTCATAACTGCCTTTCATACAAAATTTAAAGTGATCTATTATAGTTCAAAGAAGACTGGAAAGTTTTAGCTGCTAAGATGACAAGTATTTATATGGGAAATGTCAGACATTCAAAACAAACAAGAGACAGTAAAAAAACGAGTCTGGGAAAGTAGCTCAGTAAGTTATGTTTAAAGGAAATAAAATGCACAGTAAAACACTGATATCAAAGTTCTCCACTTCCTGTTTGTCCACCACTCCTACAAAGAGGCAGGTCAGGATATCAAAGCCATTCGTTTATAAGAAGTTGAAAATGTTCATGGAATTTGCTTCTAGCCACTAACAAAATTAACAAACAGTTGGAAAGAATGCAATACTCCTTCCAAGAAAATACACAAACAAGAGTATTTCCCCCTAAGTTCCAGCACTACTTTATTTAAAAAGGAACGAACTAAATACAAACTTTGCAATGTGAAAATGCTGGATCATGCGGTTTAGGAGGGGGTAGAGAACAGGAGCACTTAGGGGTCGCTTACACGGTCTACCCTATTTAACAAAACAGCACCAAGCTACGAGCAGAGGTCCTGAAGTGGATGTAACCGCCGAGGCTTCGGCAAGAACGGTCCCCAAGCTCTCCCAGGGGCGTTCCTGCGGGGCTTGGCTTAGCTCAGCACCCCGAGATCACACTTGTGCCTTTAAGTGGGAGATGACACTGATTTCCCGTAACTGGCATCCCTGGCGGCCTCAGCCCCCCAAAACCCACTCTGGCCGCGTCTCTTGTGCATGCAAACTCCTGCAAAACGAGTGCGACGGCCCAAGTCGGCGCGGGACTCCTAACAGACCGCGAACCACTTCTTTCTTTGTGCGGGGGGCGATGGGTGGGAGACAGGCTGCCGAGATGGGGAGAGAGTGGGGCTGCGGAGCAGGCGTCGCCCCCGCCGTCCTTTGCAGGCGGGCGCCGCGCCCACCCCGGCTCGCGGGCTGCGAGGACCGAGGCGGGGGTCGGGGGTCGCGGCCGGCGCAGGGACCCCCGTGGCGCGCGCCGGGCCCAGGAGGTGGCGTGCGGGGGCCGCGTGGGACCCCTTCCCTCCCTCTCCCGGCGGCCACCCGGCCCTCCGGCGCCCCCGCCCCAGGCCCACCTTTGATGCCGGCCATGGCGGTGACGTCTCTAGTGGCTCCGGGACCCGAGGCGGCGGCCGCGAGACCCGAGGCGCGCGGCGGCGGCGGCCAGACAACACCCGGAAGTGCGCGACGCAGCACTTCCGCCGGCGGCTCGCGCTCGCGCGGGGACGCGGTGGGCGCGTCGGCCTCGGGGCCGTGGGCCCGACCCCTTTTTCACTTGCGTGGCTCCTCCGCGGGTTTCCGCCCTGGAGGCTTTCGGCCCGCGCCCGGGTTCCGGGGCCGTGCAGGCGCCGCACTCGTTGTGCCCCTCGGGGTCGGCGGAAGCTGCTGGCTGTGGCCCGCGGCAGCCTCCCTCCTGTGGGGGGCCGCGAGCCGGAGGGGCCGCCGAGCTTTGGGAGGCCGGCTGTGATGTCTGTGAGGGCTAATTTTGCGTTCTTTAAAGTGCACACTTTTCTCTTTCCTCCCTAGCCTTGCAGTAAGAGAGAAGTAAGGCCGAAGGGGTGGCTTACACTTGGCTTCTCGGTTTCCTACTCAGAACTGGGGTTCAGGCAATGTTAGGGGGAAATGATGTCCTGAGCTATTTTCCTCATTTCCCCTTCCCTTGTAAATAAACCTTTTATTAACCTTTCGCATGTGCCTGCAGTAGAGCATTGATAAGTCCTTTTAAGCGCGTGGGTGAGGACCCCCAGTCAGGCACCCCGTTTTGTATTGGGGTTGCTCTATAACAGCAAGAGCCCATCGCCAGAGATCGCAGTGGGACCTGGTAAAGGGTGGATCTCTTGGGCGTCAGTGAGATTCGCAGGATTTACATAGTAACCGGGATGGGAAGAAAGGAGAAAACAGAGGCACAAATGCATTCATTTGAGTCATCTTACACGTTTGTTAGAGAACATCTACTAGGTATCGGGAAAAGGCACTGAGGTGAGCCACACTAGGCAGCAGATTCTGCCCTCAGGGAGCTTGCAGTTTTGTGAAAGAAACATAAAAAAAAATTGTGAATTTACAGCAGTGATAACAGCTAGGCGATGGCTAGGTAGATAGTCCATGAAAGCCTTTGATTTAGATCAGTCATGGAAGAGTTCCCTGAGGGAGTGTAACTTGAGAAAAGGGAAAAGCCACTACGAGGAAGGGGCCACTCAGGGGAGTTTTGGTGGCAAACTCTGGGAGTTTGTACAGAAAAAGATTGGTCTGTTGGAAAAAAGCCAGTGATATTTATTGCGCGGGGTGGGTGGGATGGGGTGGGGTGGGGTGGGGCACATGTTACACAGCAGGATCCTAAATAAGGTTTTTTTTCCTCCCATGAGCAATGATAATCTTTTGAAGAGTGTGAAAATGATAGAGGTGGAGGTATTGAGAAGCTTAAGATATTGTACACCCTACTTTCCTTCCCTACACTTCTAAGGTGGAGTTACATTTTAAACAGCAGATCACTTTTTTTTTTAAAGATTTATTGATTTATGCATACAAGAGCTGGGGTGTAGACTAGAGGTTGATGTGTGTGTGTGTGTGTGTGTGTGTGAGAGAGAGAGAGAGAGAGAGAGAAAGTGTGAGAGAGAGAGTGGGAGAGGATTCACCAGAGACAGGATGGAGAGCAGAACAGGCAGATCTACTGAAATACACTGCTGAGGGGAGTAGCCAGTGAGACAGGAGCGGTCTGCTGCCATGTGGGTCAGCTCCCTGTCTGGGGATGGAACTGGTGCTGCAGTGGCTGCTGATAGCTTCATAGTGCTGAGACTTAACTCCTTAGGCCACCAGGGAGGCCCAGCAGATCACTTCTTGAAGCTTAATGCCCCCAATCAAATTAACAGGTGTGACTTTTTGCTGCACGTTAGTGCAAAAAATTGTGCCATCTCCTGTAACATGATAGTGTTTCCATTAAGGATGTGGTAGCAAAAACAAGGCACACTTGAACATACGCTCTAGAAATATGTGCCCCGTTCTATAGTCTGTGAATCACCAGCTCCCTTCCTTGAAATACTGAAGCAGGCATATACATTCTCCTCCCCAATCATCTTGAAAGGAGTAGGTAGAATGTGGAGAAGTAAATGATTCTATCCCAAATTGTCACAACAACCCCTATTCTTACTTTGTTCCATAGTATTTCATCCTTGAAGCAGAGAAGATTAAGAGAACATAGTAGAGAAAGATGATCAATGATAGCAGTTTGGGGGGTGATAGTTTTTCTTATAGACTCATAGCTCGGCTACTGGGGCCAAGATTACCTTCTTAGCATGTATTTTGGGGCTTCCACAAACCCGCGAATGAGTAAAGTGCTACTCCTCTAATTCACTCATTTTGAATGCCAATGGGTTGAGCTTTACAGACATTCATTGATTTTCTGATATTAAGGGGCGACTGAGGTTATTCATCGAGTTATGGAATCTTAAGAGGTTGTGTTGTTTTTTCTTTTGCTTTTCCTTGAGATTCACAGAGGTGCAAAGCAAGGAAACACCATCCAAGGATTATTTTTGTCCTGCAGATGTTGTCTAAGGTCACTTCAGATCTTAGAAAACATCTGTTTTCAAATGTAGATCCTCTACATCAGAATTCTTTGGGATGTTTCCTAAAAATACAAAATCCCAGGTCTCACTTTGGAACTTTTGAATCTGAACTTACATGGGCAGAGCCTAGGAATCCGAAATTTTAATAACCATCCTAAATCATTCCTATGCAAACTGAAGTTTAAAAATTGTCTGAGGGCCTCCCCGGTGGCGCAGCGGTTGAGCGCTGGGTTGCGAAGCTGCCCGCGGCCTCTGCGGCACCAGTTCGATCCCCGGCTGCTCCTCGGCCACCAGAGGAGGGTCCCACATGGTGCGCAGACCTCTCCTGCGCCCGCTGCTCCCTCAGCAGTGTACTTCGGTCCTTCTGCCTGCTCTGCTCCCCGCTCTGGCTCTGGTGAATTCTCTCACCCTCCCGCACTTCTGACTGTACCCAGTGCATGTATAAACAAACAAACAAAACAAATAAATAAATAAATAAAAAACATGCCTCTATTTAAAAAAAATAAATAAATAAATAAATAAATATAAAAATTGTCTGAAAATGGTAGAATGTCAGGAGTTTACCTCATCAGTTTTCCAAGTTAATCCCCAAATTAGCTAATACTGCATCCTCTAAATGTTTGAATGTTTTGTAAACTTAAAATTATTAACCCTTACAGACCAAGTCAGCAAAATCTCAGTTTTTATTTAAAAAAAATTTTTTTGGGCCTCCCTGGTGGCACAAGGGATTAAGACGCAACCTATGACGCTATCTGCAGCCTCTGCAGCATGAGTTCAATCCCCCACCAGGGAGATACCCACATGGCACAGCAGACCTCTCCTGACTCGCCTGCTGCTCTCCTCAGCAGTGTACTTTAGTCAATCTGCCTGTTTTGTTCCCCACTCTGTCTCTGGTGACTCCTCTCACCCCCCACACCCTGGCCTATACCCCAGTTCTTGTATGCATAAATAAATAAATCTTTTAAAAAAATCTTTTTTATTATGGAAACATTTAAGTATGAAAAAACATAGAATAGTATAATGAACTCTGCTGTGCCATCAGCTACCTTCAACAATGAACATATGGTCAGTATTCTTTTCTCTGTACTCCCCATTTCCATCCCACAACATCCCATATTATTTTGAAGAAAATTCCAGAAATAATTTTATCTTTAATATTTTGGTATGTTTTTAAAAGGATTCTTTTTTTTTAATAGCAATTCTTTAATAATATCTAATATCCATTACATTTAAAATATTCTGGATTACCGAAAAAATGTCTTTTAATAGTTGGCTTGTTTGAATCAAGATCCAAATCCAGTAAGTCCACACATTGATTTGATTACTAAATCTCATCAGTTTCAATCTGTCACAGTCAGCCTCCCAGCCCTACCCCTTTACTTTTTTCTTACAGTATTTATTTTGTGAAGAAATCAGGTCTTTTGTCTTGTAAATTTTCCACATTCTGAATATGGCCAATTCCATCTGTGGTATCCATTTAATGTCTTCTTTTATCCTGTTGCTCATAAACTGGCATTTAGAGCCAGATACCTGATTAGTTCAGGGTTCATTTATGCCTTGTGCTTCTTATTGCATCATCTGGCACATGATTTATTTCATTAGGGGTTGTAGTGTGGTGGTTTTTGAATTCTATTATTTCTTTTGCCTTTATTACCTGCAATTCTTCAACTAAGTAGAATGTTCTGTCATCAAGTATTTGATTACCTTGAAATATAATCATACAGGAAAGGCAGTATGATACTTCTCTTTATCAGTTTTTAGTGTCTTGAGTTGGATACGTAACCATCTCCAAAGATTATAATGGTTTCTTTACTAGTTTGATTATAACTTAAAAGGATTCTTAAAAGTAGCATAACCATAGTACACTTATCATAACCCAAAACAAAGTGAATGTCATTACATAGGATCTAGTCAGTGTTCAAATGTCCAATTGTCTCCTAAATGTCATTTATTTTATGTTTTCCTCTTAACAGTCAAATCAGGTTTACACATTACTGTTGCTAAGTCTCAGAGATGTTTTAAGAAACTACTGCTTAGTATTTAGATCTCAGCTCAAATGGTAACTTCTCAGAACTTTCCTTGGACATTATATTTATTATGACACTTTATATCATATTACCTTGTTTTCTTCTTGAAGGCACTTATTCATCTGAACCACATTGTTGGTTTTCTCTCCCACTAGAATATAAATTAGTACAACCTTTTATGTTTTGCTCATCACTGTCTAGAACTGTACATAGCAAATGATGGCATTTCAAATAACAAATTCTCTTGTTAAGGTAACTAGTGATCTCCACATTGCAAAATCCAAAGATCACTTTTTTAAAAAAAGATTTATTTATTTATGCATACAAGAACTGGGGTACAGGCCAGAGGTGTGGAGGGTGAGAGGATTCACCAGAGATAGAGTGGGGAACAGAACAGGCAGATCTACTGAAATACACTGTGGAGGGGAGCAGCAGGCAAGACAGGAGAGGTCTGCTGCACCACGTGGGTAGCTCCCTGGCCGGCTGGGATTGAACTTGTGCTGCAGAGGCTGTGGATAGCTTCACAGTGCTGTGCTTAACCCCTTGTGCCACCAGGGAGACCCCAAAGATCACTTGTTTGAAATTTTTAACAACAGCGGACAGTTATTGATCATTGTCTCTTTGTCTCAATTACCACATTACTTTCCTGGGTTTTTTCCTACATCACCAGAGTTTACTTTCAGACTGTTTCTAAGCGCGTCTGCTGCTCAATTTCAAATGATAGTGTTCTTTTAGTTTGGTCCTGGTCCTCCTTCTTTGCCACAATTAAATTCTCTCCCTATTCATTGTATCTCTTCCCGTGACATTAAACACCATCTTTATTTGATAATTTAACTACCAAATTTACCTGAGCTTTGAAATTTAGACTTATAAATTCAAGTGTCTACTTAACATGTCTACCTGACTACCTAATAGTCATTTCACTCTTAACATGTTGATAGCAGGATTCCCTATTATCTTTAATCCTATCCTAAGTAGTCTCGCTCCAAGCCACCACTGCTCTAACTAAGCCTGTGGAATTAGGGTCTTGCGCATCACCTGCATAGCTTCCAAGTGGAGGGAGTCCTCCTTATCTTTCTCATCACTTAGGTGTCAAGTTTCAAAATCACTTCCTCAGCAAAGTCCTTCTTGAAATGCCCTCTCTTCACTCCCCACATCCCAGTCTTTATTGTATTACCTTGTTTTGTTTCATCCATGCACTTATCACTAGTATCTCTGTTCACTATCTTGTTATTTGTCCTTCCGTACTTCAATCTAAGTTCCAAGAGTACAGGAAACTTCTTTGTATCCTCCATACATAAAACAGTGCTTGGCACATATCAGCATTCAATCTATTTGTTGAATGAATGCATGAGAAACACCCAGGCTTGTCAGACAGTAAAGATAACACCTGTGCACTTAGAACTATTTTCTCTGGCCGGTTCTTCACTTGAACAGTAGTTTCTCCTCCTGAAATTCTGTCAATTCTAACTGCTTCCAAGTACACGGGGATATATAAAGCTTTAAACTGTTGAAACCAGAGGCTATATTTCCTTGCTAACTTTCGCGCCACTGGCATCTAGTAAACAGTAACACGAGCTGGCGCTCTGCTAGGTGCTGAAGGCATAAAGTTGAATAAGGCACAATAACTTCCTTTGGGAAGCTTGCTGACATTTTTTTTTTTTTGTTTAAAAATTATTTATACAAGAGCTGGGGTACAGGCCAGAGGCATGGGAGGGTGAGAGGATTCACCAGAGACAGAGCAGGGAACAGAACAGGCAGACTGACTGAAATACACTGCTTAGGGGAGCAGCGGGGAAGAAAGGAGAGGTCTGCCGCACCATGTGGGTATCTCCGCAGCCGGCCGAGATCGAGGCGGCGCTGCAGAGGCTGCGGACAGCTTCACAGCGCTGCACTCAACCCGCTGCGCCACCAGGGAAGCCCTAATATTTTGGAACTACACAGGACTACACTTCGGGTTCGCGCTGCGGTAGTTTCAGTGTCTTAAACCGCAGCACCTTCGCGCACAACCTTCCCCTGCCTCTGCGCCCCGCCCTCGGCCCCGCCCCCGCAGCGGCGCTCCGCCCGCGACCCCGCCCAGGGCCTCGCCGAACCCCAGGGGCGGGGCCGGCAGCGCTCACACACGCTCCCCCACGCGCTGCCCCGGCGTGACGTGAGACCGGCGCGCAGACCTTCCCTGCGCCCGCGGCTGTGCGGGCAGGACGTGCCCTCTCCGCGCCGGGGCCTCGGGGCGCGACTGCGCGGCGGCGCGCGGACTTCCGCAGGCCGGTTCCGGCCCGCTCGCGCCCGGCAATTGAGCGCCATCTTCGCCAGCACCATGGCGGCCGCCGGCGGGCGGGGGGCGGCCGGACGCCGCCTTTTCTTCAGCCTGCTTTTACTTCTGCAGGTCGCCGGCCCGGCCCTGGGCTGGAACGACCCCGGTGAGTGCTCTTCTCGCTCGCCCCTTCCTGCGATCTCAGCCGGTGCCCGGAGGCCCCACGGGCACCCGTTTCCGTCCGTCGCCCCTGCGCCTTTTGGCTCTAATTCCTGGTTTCCGTCCTGTTTCTGTGCCCTGCCTACCCTCGCTGCTCTTTCTCAGACATCCTAGGGTCTCGCGGGGATGGTTGGAGAGTGGGCGGGGTGGGACGACTCAGTGTTGTTAACGTTCCCTTTCTCCGGCTCCTGGATTCCGAGAATCTGTCCTCTCCTTCCTCGGGCTCCAGTTCTCAGCCCTGAGTCTGGCTGGACAGCTCGACACTCACCTGCGCATCTTGCTTTGTTGTCGAGACTGATGTCATCATCGCTGCCTGTTGCTGTGGCTGGCAGTTGCCATGGCACCGGCAGTCTGCGAGTCACACTTAGTGCACAGGGCTGCAGACCTCGTGGGTAGGTGAGCAGAATTACAGCTCGTATTATTTATGGTGGCCGAACCCGTTGCTTCTTACGCTCCTCATCACAGTGTATTGCCTTATGTCAACTTTTCCCATTGTTTTCACTGCACACTAGAATTAAAAAAAAGATACTTGTTTTTGTGATGGTACATGTTAAGTGATTTCTAGGGGAAAGATTTTTTTATGCCACTGTATTAGAATTGTCTAAAGAATTTTTATGGGGTTAGTTAATATTCCGTTTAGGTAATATACGGTTTTTCATTAATCAGTGATGCATGTTCTTAAGTTGAAATTATGTTTAAAAAATGACTTTAGAAATTAAAATGTAGTTTTTGGTTTGGGGAGTAAAGATACTAAGTCATGGAAAGTATATCAATATTGCATTTGTGACTTGCTGATAGGAAAGACCTACATTCTGTAATTTTCTATTTTAAGTGCTGAAATGAGGAGGAAGCTACTATTTGCAAGTACTTGATTTTGAGTAGCCTATTTAATATGGGTGTTTTATTACCAATACATAAAATGCCATGTTAGATTTAAATGTCTATATTCACTTTCTGATATGATCCTATCTAAATAGAGGTTTTGATGAAAATTATAATTTAAAAAACTGGGGTGAAATATTAATTAGTTGAATGATAATTCATATTTAAAAAGGAAGTTTACCGGTGAAGAGTCTGGGGAATTATTTTATTGCTTTTTTTAATTTAGTAAGGTGGATCATTTGAAGATTAAATTTAAGAATAACTTGTCTCTAAGGCTCCAAGTGCTGTTTCCTTTTTTTAAAAAAAAATTATATATATATTTTTACATTGTTCATTTTTGTGCAAGTTTGATTTCTCAGGTGTAATCCCCATAAAATTCCACCACCAAAAACACCCGTGCACCACCACCATAGTCTCTTGTGCTCTTCCCTGTTTTGATCTCTCTCCCTCCCTTTCCCCTGCTGGATGTCTCCGATTTATAGTTTGCCTGCTAGATTTGACTTTTTCCTGCTGACTTATTTCACTGAGCATAATTCCCTCTAGCTCCATCCATGTTGCTGCAAAGGGCATGCATTTATCTTTTTTGATTGCTGAATAGTATTTCATTGTGTGTATACACGTCATCTTCTTGATCAGTCATCTGTTTTTGGACATTTAGCTATTGGAAATAGTGTTGCAATAAACATAAGAGTTCAGGTTTCCTTTCAAATTAATGTTTTTGTGACCTTTGGGTATATTTTACTACCTTCAGTCTGATTCATTAGCTGTAGTTAACTCATTTTAACAGTTGTAGCATATTCTACTGTATGAGTAAGCCAACCATTTTATTAAACCATTCACAACTTGATATTTAAGTCATTAAATGTGATTCAGGAACTTTCATGTGTATTTTTTGCCACTTTATTTGACCATTAATGTTGTTATACAACAGTGCAATATTTCAGGTTAATGAACACATCTTTGCAAAAAGTAGGCAGACACGTGATATAGAAGCAATGCCAACTTGAAATAAAGGGAGGACATACGTGTATGACTATCTGACTTGTGTTTGAAAGAACTGAACATGCTGGAGCGGCTTTGGGAAATCATTTCATCATCCCTTACTTTTATATGTAGAATATGAAAATATATATATTGTCTGTGTTCTTCTGTTTCAGATAGAATATTGTTGCGGGATGTTAAAGCTCTTACTCTTCACTATGACCGCTATACCACCTCCCGAAGGCTGGATCCCATCCCACAGTTGAAATGTGTAGGAGGCACAGCTGGATGTGACTCTTATACCCCAAAAGTCATACAATGTCAGAACAAAGGCTGGGATGGTTATGATGTACAGGTAATATTCATTGTATTGAGGGATTTTCTAAATGGAATTTTTATTTCAGAAAGTGTTTATTGGGTTGTCATTAACTATTTTTGGGAAACATATAGAAAATCTCTGATTAACCTAAAATATATAAATATGAATTAGTCATTCATTCTCTGGGGAAAAAAAACAAACTCCTCCAAAAGAAATGAACTGATTTTAAAGCCTGGAAAGAGTAAATGTAATTTTTGTACCATAAATTTCTTCTAAGACATTAGTAAATTTTAAAAAACTTTTTATGCTTTTGGGGTTCGGGGCAAAGGATCTCTTTTGGCTGTCATTTTCCTACATTCTGCAAAGAATACCAACCTACCCTTAAGAAATAAAGTTGATGTGATAAGGAATTTGTAGATTGCAAATAATGGGGGTATTGTGCTTCAAACATTTGACTTTAAAACCGTTTTATAATTGCGGATAGTTAATTCTGAATGAAGCATTGCAGTGAACTTTGTTTGAGACTGGCATTTTGTATGTAGGGTAGAATATCTCCTTGAAGTTACATAATACATAGTGCTTTAGAAATGGAGTAGATTTTTATTAAACGAATTCAGGTTAAATCACCACTAATATATTTACAGTGCGTATCCTTGCTCTCTAGAAGGATTTATGATGGCTGGTCATTAGGTGCGACACTTGTGCTGATAAATTCTTCTATTAGGGTGATGTTTTTATTTGTTACATCCTTTATGCATAACCTATGCAATTCAGAGATAGAGTTCGTATTTACTAGGTTGACCATTAACTTCACATTTTTTCCCAAGGATTGCAAACTGAATCATGGAGTCTTCTGGTTAAAGCAAAAAAGTCCCACTCCCATTTTACTTTTAAATTACGTTTATGGCCTTGATGGGAAAAAAAAACACTAATTGAAGACATTCATTAAATATATACTAAACAGTATGTAAAAATGAATAACATGGAGTCACAACCATCAAGAAACTGTTTTCCTAGTAGGAAAGATAAGACAATCTATTACATGTAGGTGCTAACAAAGCGATCTAGTTGGGGGGTTTGGAGAAGACTTAAAGGAGAAGGTATGTACTATGATAGGAAGGAAGGATAGGATTTTTAGAGTTGAAGCAATAGAGAAGGGAATAGGGTCTCCCTGGTGGCGCAGTGGGTTGAGCGCTGCGCTGTGAAGCTGTCTGCAGCCTCTGCAGCGTGGGTTCGATTCCCGGCCGGCCAGGGAGATATCCACATGGCATGGCAGACCTCTCCTGTCTTGCCCGCTGCTCCCCTCAGCAGTGTTTTTCAGTCAGTCTGCCTGTTCTGCTCCCTGCTCTGTCTCTGGTGGATCCTCTCACCCCCTGCATCTCTGGCCTGTACCCCAGCTCTTGTATGCATAAATAAATAAATCTTAAAAAAAAAAAAAACTTACAGAAAGGCAGTAAAACCAATCAAGCCTACTTAATTTGTCTCATTGTTAAAGAAGTACATTACCTATTTGGTTAAAAATATTTGAATTTTACCTAAACTTGAACTATGCAGGAATTTTTGAGGCTAGCATGGATTCCTTAAAGTATCTTAAAAAACAAACAAATAAAACTTTAGAGAATTGCTTACACAATTGAACCCTGGAAATTTAGAATATGGTTTTGGAAATCTGTGTAGAAAGTTTTTCTCAGAAGGTTACCCAGTATCTCTGATGCTCTGTGTAGCTGTCAGATCTTCACATATGATTCTGACTTTTAAGCCTTAACATCAAAAAAAAAAAAAGTTCTTTAAAGAAAGCATATGGAATGACAGTGGCAAAAATTGGCATTTAAGAATTTTCTTAAAATTTATAAATTACGGAATTCTTAAGTGTGAAAGAATTCCTTATAAGGACATGTAAGGACTAGGGACAGAACAAAATGAACACTTAAGACCTCACCACCTAGCTTAATTAGCATTACAGATATCTTTGAATCCCCTAATGTGCCATACAACATAGAAGGACTCATTTTCCTGAATTTTGTTTGTCATTCTTTTACTTCATTTTGCAGTTTTTATGACAGATACGTAGCCCAAATAATATATAGTAAATAAAAAAAAATCTTTTGGTTCTAATAACTTGTTTTTACTTTTCTTCACAGTGGGAATGTAAGACCGATTTAGATATTGCATACAAATTTGGAAAAACTGTGGTAAGCTGTGAAGGATATGAATCCTCCGAAGACCAGTATGTACTTAGAGGTTCCTGTGGCTTGGAGTATAACTTAGATTATACAGATATTGGTCTGAAGAAATTGAGAGAGTCTGGAAAAAACCACGCCTTTAACTCTTTCTCTGATTATTACAATAAGTTGTACTCTCCAAATTCCAGTGGCATCAGTGGATTGATTACTGTTGTGGTGCTACTTGCTATTGCCTTTGGAGTTTATAAGTTGTTCCTTAGTGATGGTCAAGATTCTCCTCCCCCGTATTCTGAGTATCCTTCGTATTCCCACCGTTATCAGAGATTCACCAACTCTGCAGGACCTGCTCCCCCAGGCTTTAAGTCTGAGTTCACAGGTATGTTTCCCTCGATAGTAGCTATAAGTAGAGTAGATGTGAGATGATGGTTTCTAAAGCGGAAAATATTTTCATTGGGAAACCGAAGCATGTTTGCCTTATTTTTTACTTTCCTCTTTGTTCACCTCTTCTGTCTCTATTGTGATTACTATTTTAAGGATATGTGATTAAATTATAAATTATCTTAATCAAGTTTGGTGAGAAACATTACTTTGAATTCTATCTCACACTATACACAAATTTTATTCACTTAAGTACTGTAGCTTTAACATAAAAAGTAAAACAGGAAGATACTTGTCATGACCTTGGGATAGGAAAAACTTTCTTAGAACACAAAAAAGTACCAGCTGTAAAGGAGAAATAAATAAACTAGGAGAAATAAATAAATAAACCTGGTACATATGTACCATATGTACATACATACATGTGTACATATGTACATATGTGTACATATAAACATTTGTACATATGTACAAATTTATTATGCTGTACACATGAGGTTAGCATACTTCCCTTGATATATGAAAGACATCCTCTGAGAAGAACACAAGGGACTATGGTGAATTGTGGTGGGAATTTTACGGGGAATACACAATGATGTAAAAGATACCAATAAAAAAAAGACATCCTCTGAGCAGAAGATTTTTGTACCCTTTAAGACCTGCATCCTAAGTGATATAAACAAATATCTGCCTGCCTCCATTTGAATTCCTCTGTTAGACACTGAAGTACAGCTGTCACTTGGAGCCTTCAGAGATGTTTACTCTTGCAGAAAGGAGTAACTCTGACAAGTGGGGTCACTTTGTAGTATGATCCTTCCTTCCCGGTCTTAGAATAAATCTCTCCTTTTCCATTTTTGTGAAAATACACTTTTTAGTTATAAACCAGTATTTTACAGTTAGGCCTTTTAAAATACAATGTATTTGTAAACAACTCAGATTTTTAATAAATAGTATAGATGAAATAATTGAAATGTCATGTTACTTTTGGTTCTATTGCCTATGTTTTGTTTAAATGAGGACACATAATAAGTAATTTTTATTCCTAGGACCACATGGTGCAACTTCAGGTTTTGGAAGTGCTTTCACAGGACAGCAAGGATATGAAAATTCAGGACCAGGGTTCTGGACTGGCTTGGGAACTGGAGGAATATTGGGATATTTGTTTGGAAGCAATAGGTGGGCTTTGCTTTCATCTCATTCTTTAATGTAACATTCCTTTAGTTTTGTTTTAAAGTTTGACTGGATTTGGCTTTGTTAAGAAAAATAAATTATGGTGATGTTTCCCTTTAGATCATGTTTTCTAGGGATTGGGGGGAGTATACTATATGTGCTTCAATCAATATTTGTATGTATTTCCTTTTATTGCTTTTCCTATATATATTACTATATATATTACAAGATAGAAAAAAATTTACTTTTGAGAAAATAAGGTAGGAAAGAACATTTGGGGAATAATTTGGTAGGACAATAGTAGAGGCAAAGGCTGGAAAGACCTTGAAGCCAGATTTTGGAATATCAGTGTTATTGCTAGCTTTAAGCTTAGATTTTAAATGAAAATTCAGAAAGAAACAGCCTTTTTTCTGTGTTACTTCCATCCTCTATGGCAATAACTATAACAGTATCAGAAATATAAAACACTATTCATTTCGTCTTAACCCTGATATGTCAGAACTTTGAAGAAAAATCACTTGATGAAGATTTTTTTCCTAATAGTTTAGGACTAAGAAGGTATTTAAAATTACCAAAAGAAAAAAAAAATATCTGACACATTTTTATGTCTTTATAGAGCAGCAACACCTTTTTCAGACTCATGGTACTATCCATCTCATCCTTCCTCATACTCCAGCACATGGAATAGTCGTACTTACTCACCACTTCATGGAGGCTCAGGTGGCTATTCAGCATATTCCAACTCAGAGACAAGAACCAGAACAGCATCAGGTAAGAATAAATATAGATGATCCTATTAGGTAATAGAAAAGTATAGAAATAGTTTGGGAACTTAAGAAGATGAATGATTAGTAGTCATGGCTTTGGTATACTCACCAGAAATATTAGTAACACAGTTAACTGAGATTAAAATAGAATTCCAAATCATTCTTTTTTCTCTCACTTGTAGTCATTCTTTAAAAATCCACAGTGGGGGCCTCCCTGGTGGCGCAAGGGGTTAAACACTGCACTATGAGGCAATCCTCAGCCTCTGCAGCACGAGTTCGATCCTCGGCTGGCCAGGGAGCACCCCACATCTCGCAGCAGACCTCTCCTATCTCGCCCGCTGCTCCCCTCAGCAATGTATTTCAGTCGGTCTGCCTGTTCTGTTCCCCACTCTGTCTCTTGTGAATCCTCTCACCCCCCACATCTCTGGCCTGTACCCCAGCTGTTGTATGCATAAATAAATAAATCTTAAAAAAAAAATCCAACAGGGATTTGGCCTAGGTTTACTTTTACCAGTATCCAAGGTTTTAACTTCAATCTTCCTGGATGTTGGTTTCTACCTATGTTTAATTTAGTGAACTCTAGGGACCCTTTAAGCTCGAAAATACAATTATCTAGGTAGAAGTGAACTTTTAAAATTCAGTAGAACAATGAAAATGTATTAGGATACATTAATCGTCAAAAATTTTTAGTATTTATGGGGCCTCCCCGGTGGTGCAGCGGTTGAGCGCTGGGTTGCGAAGCTGCCCGCAGTCTCTGCAGCGCCGGTTGATCCCACATGGCGCGCAGACCTCTCCTGCCACCCACTGCTCCCTCAGCAGTGTACTTCTATCCTTCTGCCTGTTCTGCTCCCTGCTCTGGCTCTGGTGAATTCTTTCACCCTCTCGTGCTTCTGACTGTACCCAGTGCTTGTATAAATAAATAAATCTTTAAAAAAAATTTTTTTTAGTATTTGTGGCAATTGCTAAAGGATATTTTGTAAAAGGCAAAAATATAAAAAACAAATAACTATTTGAAATTAAACATCCATCTAATTAGCAGAGAATGGGAGTAAGTGGGTAATGAGACTGAATAGATTGCTGTGGATTTGTCTTTTCAGTGGGGGGAAGTTACAGCATAATTTCTAAATCTTGAAATTGATAGAAAAATATTTAAAAGATTTTGAAATGTAAGACTGGAATTTTCATAGTACTGATAGATTGATACCATTGCTTTGAAAAAAACTGTTTAAAACTGAACATAAGCATACCCAAGACTCAGCAGTTTGATTCTCAGATACATAGCTTGCATGCACTTGTACCCTGAATGATAAGAATCCCTGCTTATAAAAGCTTTCAACTGTAGGAAACCCACATATCCATTAGCTGGAAAGTGAATAAAGTGAGTTATAGTCATACTGTGGAATATTGTGCAACAGTGAGTGATTGTGGCCACATATCATATGCAATAATGTGGATGGATCTATCAAATACTGAGAAAGACACAAAAGATATATACAATGGAATTATTATCACAGTGTAAAAATCTACATGAAGCTATGGTATTAGATGTTAAAATAGTGACTATTATTTTCTGGGAGAAAAAGGAGTAATAGTGAATTGGGAGGTTATATAAAAACATGAATATGTAGAATGTAACATGACAAAAGAATGCTCATTCTCAGTGGAAACAAATTATAAAAAAATCATAAATAACAATTAGATATATATGGGATTTTTTTTTTTTTAAGAGCACCTCTTTATTTTCATGGAGTAGTATTTCCATTTCTTTTCTTTTTTTTGAAAGACTTCTTTTTTTTATTTATGCATACAAGAACTGGGGTGTAGGCCAGAGGTGTGGGGGTGAGAGGACTCACCAGAGACAGAGTGGTGAGCAGAAAGGCTGATCTACTGAAATACACTGCTGAGAGGAGCAGTAAGTAAGACAGGAGAGGTCTGCTGCATCATGTGGGTTAGGTCCATGGCTGGGGATCGAACTCATGCCACAGTGGCTGGGGATAGACTTTAACCCCTGCGCCATCAGGGAGGCCCTGTATGGGATTTATATGGAGAAAATTACAAAACTTTATTAAGAAGCCTGAAGGAAAGCCTGAAAAAAAAAAAAAAAAAAAGACTTTCCAGATGGGAACGCTTGTCATCTTGTAATTCTGTCTCTTGGCAAATGTGTTAAGTATGTTTCAGTAACATTCATCATTGAAATTATGTAACCTTTCCCTCTACCCCCCATTATTTCTGTTTACTGCTGGGTTGTGAGAGGGAACAGGGCCTGGCTTAGGCTCCACTGGCCTGTGTGTTTTTAGCCTAGACTTTGAGCATGGCCTGCGCCACATCGGCTCCTCCATGTTCACAGCAAACGTGTGTGAGTTTGGTAGACTTGACTGGGTGATTGGGAGGGCTGTCGTGGGAGGCAGTGCTCTTGCATCCTGCATAGTCCTGGTCCACCTAGTGGTTCATTTTCTCCTTCCCTCTTACCTCTCTGACTTATTTGCTAACAATAAACACAAGTTACTATGGTAGTTTTATAAGAAATTGTAATGTGTTTTAAAAACAAATATGAATGTTTCTTTTCTCATTCTAGGATATGGTGGTACCAGAAGACGCTAAGAAAGTAGCGTGGAAGTCAAACATCGGATGCAAAATTTCTGATTTTTCATCACTTGTGCTTAAAAAAAGTGCTACCAGCTAACAGTTGGGGAAAAGGGGATGTTTAGAAGTTCTGATGTTTTTTCCTACATAGTTTTTTATATTCTAATATTTCAGGCTAAGGGTTGTTCTAGGAAAAAATGCTTATGTAGAGAATTGTATGTTAGTGTAACGTGCGGGTGCATAGTACAGTTTCTGAAAGTAGTGATTACTGTGGAATGCAGAAAATGTAATGTTTAATTTCTAAAACCTGTGATGCCATAGAAACATTAAGAATGAAGGCTCTATACCGATAGACTTTGAGTATAGAAATTTCAGTCTTATGTGGCTTTAGTTAATGAATCATTACCTCATAGAAATAATAATTATCTCTTTGGTATTTATTATTTGCTGTCTGTTGTTCTTCAAACATTTAAGCCAAGCTTTGGACTACTGATTAGACTAATCTATGGGTCTTGGTCACTTTGGAGCTTAGGCGCTTTGACTCCTTTAGCAGTCTCGGGGCTCCAGTGAGAATTACCTTTTATAGTAAAGATAGAAAATATATACAACGTTGTTGTGAATGATTATATGCTGACAAAAATGCTCAAAACATCCATATTCATTTGTGAGATGAAGTTCAAATACTTCAATAAAGGCTTTTTAAAAGCAAAAGCATGCAGTTCCCTGGATGCTCAAGTAATGATGTGGTAGCATGTTTCAACCATATATTAAAATGTCAGAAAAAAATACAAACAAGGGGTTTTATTCTTATTCTTTCTGTCAGCCTTAACATAAATTGGGTTATTTTTCCCCCATTTCCCAAAGAAAAAGGGGCTAATGCAGCAGTTCTGACTCTCTAGTTTCCCATGGTAGTCTTGCCTTAGCTACCAGGCATTTGGTAAGTGTTTTCAAAAAAGTAATTTAGAAATGCTATGGAAGGAAGTCTCTACTAAAAAAGTGCTTTAGAAAAAAAATTAAATTTCCAAGCGTCCATACCCTCAGTAGTTAAAATTTGTATAGATTGGGCCAGTGATAGTTATCTACGTATTAAATTTGCTACTCTTAAAATAACAGCCTGAAATTTTTTTTTTTTAAAGATTTATTTATACAAGAACTGGGGTATAGGCCAGATGCTCGGGAGGGTGAGAAAATTCACCAGAGACAGAGAGGGGAACAGAACAGGCAGACAACCTAAATACACTGCTGAGGGGAGCAGCGGGCACAGCAGGAGAGGTCTGCCGCGCCATGTGGGATTCTTGCCGGCCGGCTAGGATTGAACCCGCACTGCAGAGGCTGCGGACAGCTTCATATGCAGCGCAGCGCTCAACCTGCTGCACCGCTGGGGAGGCCCTAGCCTGAGATTTTTGTTCTTGAACCTGTTATTGTCGGTCATTGGAATCTCAAGAAAATGAGTGAATAGGGAGTTGACTAAATAGGTGGCTCTCAGACTATTCTCAAAAGCCTGGGGTGTTCTTGAGGTTCTTTTAGAGGCTGCCTGGAGGGAAGGGCTGGAAAGAAGCTAAGTCTGTAGGGGTCAAGGTCCTCCCACGCTGTTAGTGTTCTTCTTTTACGTATTGTGTGCTTATACTTTGTTTTTATTTATGGAAAACATTCTGAGGTATCACTTCAGGAGAATAAATGACAGTACTGCTGGCTCACATTAGGGAGTTGATGGCTTATAAATATGGGTTGAGGCAAGGGAAAATGGGGGTACTTCATTTGGGAAGGCATAAAAAGGAGAGACAAAAGGATGCTGAAGTCAAGTTTTACAGTTTTACTTACACGAGGGTTTAGAAGAAATTTTTGGATGTCAGGATGTGATTACTGACATTTTAAAGAGTTAAGTGTGTTTCTAGAGTTTTGTGCATGCTTCTCTCTAAAGCTCCTTGATCTTACATTCTGATCCCAGCCCCAAGACTGACTTCAGTTTGCCTGTTGTTCTTCCAATAACACATTGGACACACTTTCTCCTGTACCTAGCACATTGCAACAAAATTATCTTTTAAGTGTCTTTCTTACTACTCTGAGCTCCTAAGGGAGCTGTTTTCCTGACTGTGCAGCAAGGGCATGGTCACATGTGACTAAATTTTGTCAATCAGATGCTTCCTCGGGGTTTCTTTGGAGGGAGTGACACAAAGCTCTCAGGAAAATGAAAAGATTATCCCCACCAGTGATAGAATAGTCAAAGACTTAGCAGAGGTGTTGGTGAGTGTCTCTTGAGGGTCTTAGGGAGACATTCTAACGGGGCATTTGCTGTAGTTTCTCTGGGCTGGGTTGTGTGCTCCTGGATGGCTATGTCTAAATCTTCCTCTCGCTAAGCCTGAGTTTCCAGCCTTCTCATCAATTTTGTGAAGCTATTTGATATATAATATGTTAATAGTTTTTTTTCTGTTCAATTCGGAAGAGTTATTTTTGTTATTTGCTACTGAGAACCTTGTACTTACGGTAAATCTCTTAAGATTCTTAAGTTGTAAGCAACAGATACTGGCTAATTACAATAAAACACTGTGGTTGACTCCCAACATCTGTTCCTCTCTGTTGATTTGGTCTCTGAACCAGTGGTTTCAAACTTGAAGGAGTATCAGAATCACTAGAGGCTATGAATATACTACCCCCAGAATTCCTAGTTAGTAAGTACACGTGTTAGGTATCTATTTGGCAAGGATATAGTCCTAGTTATTCAAACACTAATCTAGGTGGTGTTGTGAAGGTATTTTGTAGATGTGATTATCATGACCATTAGTTGATTTCTTAAGTAAAGGAGATTATCCTTTATCTGAATAGGCCTGAGCTATTCAGTTGGAAGCAACAATTTTCTGACTCACAGAGACCTGTTTTGACTATGGTATACCTAGAAAAGAAATAAGCAATCTATTAATACTACTACTTTCTTGCTTGATCTGTTTAAGTGGAAGAGTTCTAGATCAAGTGAAAGTAAGTCTAACTGTTCTATACTACCAAACATTTACACTGTTAATCCCTCCCCATCCCAAACCCCCAGCCTTACCCAAGGGAGTATGGCTGTTTACTAGGAGGACTGTAGCTGGGAGAAAAAGAAATAACGAGATATTTTGGGGATAACTAGACAATGCCTTTGAACTAACACTAATTCCAGGAGGCCCAAAATGCTAATATAGTCTACCAGTCAGAGTAAGGTGCTTATGAAAGTCAGGAGATTAGTGGAGTTTTAGCTCAGATCTAGCTCTGTGAGGATACTGATTGTATCCTGTGATTATTTCCCCAGTTCTGGTATAAACATACTCATCAACTGGTAGAATCCCCACATTGGTTCTCTGACTTGTGAGATGAGACCTGTTAATGGTATGAAAGATTATGTGGGAGCCACTACAATTGCCACTATGTACAAAAATGGTCAACCAACAGTGATTGCACTATGGACACTAGATTAAAGGGGTAGAGGGTATGTGGGGACTCCAAAACCACGTAAGGTAGAAATGATGGTGACTAGCAAAAGAGTGGGAGTCAGAAAGTGAAGCAAAATGGAAGGACACAGAAAGTTCCTAGAAAAATGCATTTAACTTGTCATGAGTTGTGCTCCCCCTTCCATATGTTGAACTCACCTCACCTCCATGCTGTAATGTGACCTTCTCAGAAAGTGCAGAAGGAATTAGTTAAGATAAGGTTATGGGAGTAGGGTGAATCCCTAATTCAATGACTCACATCATTATAAAATGGTAAAATTTGGATCCAGAGCAGCACACCAGGAGAACATGTGAAGACAGGAGTTAACGCATTCATAAGCCAACGAACATCAAGGATTGCTAGCCAGCCACCAGAGGCCAGCAGAGAGACCTGGAACTGATCTTGCTCTAGCAGCTTCAGAGGGAGCACAGCCCTGTCAACACTTGATCTCAGACTTGTAGCCTGTAGAACTGTGAGATGAATTTCTGTCGTTTAAGCCAAAAGCAAAGTAGTATCATTTCTGGGGGAATGTCCTCCAATCCCAGTGAAATTTCTAGAAGTCTGGTGGTATGGAGCCTGTTGAGATACCTTCTAAGGCAATGAGCAAGTGGTTGCATGTAGCCTTAACTGTATCCCCGCCCCCCCCCCCCCAAAAAAAAAGAGACAACATTCTTAGTGGGTCTCTAGATTTTGGAGAGAACAAAGTCCTCATAAGTCCTCCTTTGAGTGTGTTGTTCCCATTCATTTAATGACAACCCAAAAAGCTGCTGATAATGACTGGTGCTCAGGACAAGAGAAGGTACTGCCACAGTACAGGCTGTCATACAAGCTCAAATATTATTTTACTAAGCCTCTTACTATTCTGTTGATCACACTTTGCAGACAATTCCCACTCCCCATCTTGTGCACCTTTTCAGATTTTCTCCAACCTACCTTCTTCCACCTGACTAATGTTTCTCCCACACCAGGGAGAGATTTGAATCTCTGCTTTGAGACTTGAATGAAATATGGGATGATTCTACCTGAATAGTTGCCATGTGGTCAGATCGTGGAACTCAGAAGTTCAGAGAATTAGCTCAATGGAATGTGCTATGACCAATGAGAAAGTCTCCTCCTCTCAGGAGCACTGACACTGAATATGTTTACAACACTTGGGGATGGTTTATGTGCACAGTGAACATTCTGCAAAGTGACCTTTGTATCTCTTCAGCTCTTTATGAAGCAACAGTGCCGAACTACATTGCATAGCATCACTTCTTGTCTCGCTTTCTTTGTTTTCCACCCCTGTGCTTTTGGACATGCTTCTCTCTTAAGAGCCAAAACTTTTAACCTTTGCCTTGGGTTTTGCTTTCTAGCAGATAATTTCTAAAACAATTGATTGTGAAAGATGTTTAGGAGTTTCCCTTCACTCAGGTAAAGGGAGTGTTCTGATGGAAAGGGTATAGGCATCACTGGAAGCTCAATGATGGCAGCCTTCTATAGGTTAAAGTTAACAGTAGTATAATGTTCAACTGATTTGCAATTATACATATTTTAGGTAATGATATACGTATTTCATAATTAGAAATAAAACAAGTTCCCCCAAAAACTCCACAGAAAAGCTAATTCAACTCATCAATCAGTTCAGTAAAGTGGCAGGATACAAAATCAACACGCAAAAGTCAGTAGCCTTCCTATACACAAACAATAAATCTGAAGAAGAAGAAATCAAAAAAAACATCCCTTTTGTTATTGAAACAAAAAAATCAAATATTTGGGAATAAATCTAACAAAAGAGATAAAGGACCTATACAAAGAAAACTATAAAACACTGTTAAAAGAAATAGAAGAAGACACAAAGAAATGGAGAGATATCCCCTGCTCGTGGATTGGAAGAATAAACATTATTAAAATGGCCATCCTTCCAAAAGCAATATACAGATTCAATGCTATTCCAATCAAAATTTCAATGTCATTCTTCAAAGAAATAGAACAATTATTGATGAAATTCATATGGAATCACAAAAAACCCCGAATAGCCAAAGCTCTCCTGAAAAAAAAAGAAGGGAATGGAGGCATCACACTCCCAGACTTCAAACTATACTACAAAGCCATAATCATCAAAACTGCATGGTATTGGAACAAGAACAGACATACAGACCAATGGAATCGAATAGAAAATCCAGAAATAAATCCACAGATTTATGGTCAACTAATCTTTGACAAAGGAGCAAAGACTATGCATTGGAGCAAAGAAAGTTTGTTCAATAAATGGTGCTGGGAAAACTGGGTCGCTACATGCAAAAGAATGAAGCTTGACCACTACCTCACACCATACACAAAAATCAACTCAAAATGGATTAAAGAACTAGACATAAGACCTGAAACCATAAAATATATAGAAGGAAATATAGGCGAAACACTACGTGATCTGCACATCAAAGACATCTTTACAGACACATCACCCAAAGCAGTGATAGTGAAGGCAAAGATAAACAGCTGGGACTACATCAAATTAAAGAGCTTCTGCACAGCAAAAGAGACAATAACAAAAACAAAGAGAAACCCCACCAACTGGGAGAACATTTTTGCACCCAACACTAATGATAAAGGACTGATCACAAAAATCTGCAAAGAGCTGATGAGACTCAGCAACAACAAAGAAAATAATCCAGTCAAAAAATGGGCAGAAGAGCTAAAAAGAAACTTCTCTGAAGAGGAAATGCAAATGGCCAACAGGCATATGAAAAAATGTTCAACATCACTTGCCATCAGGGAAATGCAAATCAAAACTACCATGAGATACCATCTTACACCAGTGAGAATGGCACATATTAAAAAAACTAGCAACAACAAATGCTGGCGAGGGTGTGGAGAAAAAGGAACTCTTCTGCACTGTTGGTGGGAGTGCAAACTGGTCCAACCACTGTGGAGAGCTGTGTGGAGATTTCTGGACCTACTAAACATAGAGCTTCCATATGATCCAGCAATTCCACTCCTAGGTATTTACCCAAAGGACACAGAAACATCAATTCCAAAGAGCACCTGCACCCCTATGTTTATAGCAGCACTGTTTACAATAGCTAAGCTTTGGAAACAACCCAAATGCCCAAAAATAGATGACTGGATCAAGAAGATGTGGTACATATATACCATGGAATATTACTCAGCAATCAAAAAAGATAAACACATGCAATTTGCAGCAACATGGATGGCGCTGGAAGGGATCATGCTCAGCGAAATAAGCCAAAAAGAAAAAGAAAAATACCGGATGGTCTCACTCATAGCAGGAATCTAGAAAACTTAAATAAGGGACCAGGAAAATGAATAACTATAAGAAAGTGAAAATCAAAATCAACAAAAAACTATGAACCAGAGACACTTTTAGGGGGGCGGGGGCGGGAGGGGAGGGATTGGGGTCAGAATGGGGGGGCTGCAATTGTATGGGGAATATAACAATAAAATTTATAAAAAAAAAAAAAAAAAAAAAGAAATAAAACAAGTTCCTTGTAAAACAGTCAAAAAATTTAAAAGGACATAAAAAAAAAAGCAAAAGGTCTGTATCTGCCTTATCCTATAGTTCGTCCTCTTTTGCCTCAATGTGTCCTTTCTACCTAGAAGCAATCTCTACCAACAATTTTCTGGTTATTGTTCTAGAAATAATATATGATATTCACTTTCTTTTACACAGAGAAGAGACCTACTTTTTTTTCTTGGAAAAACTGAATAGTCTTCCATCATGGCGATGGCATAACTTAATCTGCCTATTCCTTTATTTATAAATGTTTGCCTTGTCTTCAGATGCTTCCTGCTTTCAACCATTCAGTAACATCCAAAGATATATCTGCAGTACGTATATTTATGTCACTCTCCAAAAACAAAATGAATCCCCACCAAAAAAAAAAAGAAAACCCACAATCATTCTTTATTGTAGTTTAGTTCTTTAATATATATGTGTTTAGATTTATAGGAAGATTTCTGGAGTGATAAGATCCATGCTTAAATACAGTACCCTTTGAAACCAGGATATGGATGTAAAAAGAGCTGCCCTTTGGACGTGGTTTTCCATCTCTAAATTAAGTCACTTGGAAGCAGATTTTTGTTTGAGAAGACTGTGTCTTTTCTTAAGTAAATAAATATAAGG